GCCATAATTCCCATAGTCTCTGCATGTAACCTCTCTCACTGGGTACGCTTGTATAGTAGCATTTCATCAGTACCAAGTTTTCTGCTCTAGTCCATCTATGTCTTGTTCCAGTAGCCAATTTGTCATCAAGTTGCCCTGGTTCCCTAGCAACTGACGCGGACCTTGTTAACCCCAGTTGCTTATATATATATATATATATATATATACTCTAATTTATATATATATATATATATATATATATATATATATATATATATATATATATATATATATATATAAATTAGAGTACTAAAGGTGCACTGTAATACTAATACAAAAATTCCAAGTGTACAAATAGCAAATAAATAAATTAATAAATAGAGGTGTGAAGGTTATAATATGAATGTAGTTATAGGTCTCCACTTTGTTTCAAATGTCTCCATCCTAAGTCATAGTTATGATGTCGCTTTTTCCATAATATAGACTTTTCTAATTCTATCTCTCCACTGTGTAATACTGGGAGGTTGTGGTTTTGACCAAACATATGTTATACACTTTTTTACAATCAGAAGCAGAACTTTGATCAAATATTTATTGTCCTTGTCAATCATGTCAGAGGGGATTATTCTTATAATATATACGGATGTATCCAGATCTATATGACTGCCAAAATGCTTTTTACCTCTGTTTGCACATCTTTCCCCAACTTGGTCACATTTCGGCAATCCCATAATATATGAGTAAAATCCCCCACCTTTCCACAATTTCTCCAACAAAGCTGAGATGTTTTACCATATTTAGATGTGATAACTGGAGTGTTTAATAACCCATCATACCTTTCCTGTTAAATCCCCTCCAAGTTGGGCTGTTATTTAATTTATGTCCAGGGCTAAATTTTTCTTCCCAATCTTCATCTGCTAGTATTATATTAGCCTCCAATTTCCACTTCTCCTTAATGTCCTTATTATCAAAGCTGGAGTCACATTGCAGGCTTTTGTATAGTTTTGAGTCTGCGAATAGTCTACAAATGCTTCAGTTATTTCTTTGGCTTGTATTTTAGTCTGCATAGGTTGTTTTATTTTGGAGATGTGCCTATTTACTGGAGATTTCATAAGTTGAAATGCCAGAAGTTGACTTGCACTATTTCCCATTTCATTATATCTTTGATTTGAAAAGCATAGAGAACCTTCTGCTTTCACCATTAGTATATCCTCTAATTTATTTTTTCCTTTTTCAGCTCACTCATTATGTTGTCATCCCCTACAGTATTTTGCGTTGCCTTTCTAATTCTTTGATCTCATTTTTCAGCTCCCTTTGTTCTTTCATTACGGCTTTTTTCATTCTGGATAATATTTCTATTATTTTCCCTCTCATCACTGCTTTTCCTCCTTCCTATTATATTGTTGGTGAAACTTCCACGTTATCATTTATTTCAAAGTATTTCTTAAGTGACTCCTTGATTTCCTTGACAATATTTTCATTTGAGATGATTGATACATTAATTTCCAAATATCTGAAGCAAGATTCTTTGCTTATGCTTAAAGTTAGCATAACAGGTGTCATTTATAGTTATACTTTCTATGTAACATTTTAGTAGCTTTTGTATATGTTGCTGAGATCTGTATAGATAATGTATTCAAGAATTTTTTTGTGTGGGTTCGAATAAAATATAAGTCTCTGATTTCTTGGGGTTGGTATTTCTCCAAGCATCTTTAATAAATTAAGCTTCAGCTTTTTTTGTCATTACACTGTCACAACTACAGAGCAATGAAATTAACTCTCTGCATTTAACCCATCCCCTTGGGGAGCAGTGGGCTGCCATTGTACGGCGCCTGGGGAGCAGTGTGGGGTTAAGGGTCTTGTTCAGGGACCCAGAGTGTCAGTCCGTGGGAGTTGGGCTTGAACTCAGAACCTCTGGATTCCAAGCGTAATGCCCTAACCAGTAGGCCACAGTCCCCTACAATATTATTTTATATATTCTAATATTATATAGTCTTCTAAATTTTGTTGTCTGTGGTCCTTAGTCAGAGGGGTATCTATCTAAAATATAATTTTTAACCGTATGAAAGTCTCCCCCCACCAGTATCAATCCTTTTACATCATTAGTTATTATTTTGATTATTTGGTTCAAGAAAGTGTTGTTTTGGGAAATATACATTTATTACTGAAATTTTCA